CGACGGTGTCAGAGTGAGCCGCGTGTAGTAGCCAGTCTGATGCCGAACATGCCTATGCAACCATAGACTACAAGGGGATTCTAAGAAGTCATGGACCCAATTCACCTATGACCGTTAACAATGGCCCGAGATGGAGCCAAGAATCAAACCAGAAACTGCATGTGTCACCATTCCTAACACTGCACCTGAGAAGCGGTCTGGCCAATGGTCGGAGTTTCAGTAGTTTCCGCCACACCCAACACCAAAAATGACACGAAAAAAAAAGCTCTTCTCTGTGAAATCGACAAAGACCCCCACTAGGTCTTCGTCCACCTCGCCCCCACCGTCTTCATCTCCTGCAATTCTTCCATCTTCACCGTCTTCTCCCGTTCCACTTCCCCCACTAACTCCATCCTCTGAAAATCCCCAAATTTCAGAGGAAGCTCCACCTGGAAAATCCCCACCAATTCCTAACCCTAAAACCCAAAAAAATCAACCACCCGTGAAATTGAATGAGGGCTCTTCCTCTGCGCCCTCTTCCGCACCTAATCCACAGGCAGGTGGCATGTCTCCCCAGGATTTCCCACCTCTCCAGCCTTCTGGAACTACGACGAACGCAGGTCCAGTAGCGCAGGCGAACCGGACTCCGCTCCCTCCTCCCGCATCCTCAGCTTGGGCTAATCCCAATTTTCCTTGGGCTCAAAGGTTGAAACCTTCCTCCCGGAATCTCTCTCGTGTCGCCACGCCTTCGTACTCTAAGGATGGAACTCCCCGAATTAGGGTCCCCGGCTCTGTGCTACTCGAAACCTCTAAGGCTTGGTCTGGTAACCTCATTGGTCACTTTTATGGTCTTGCTCCTTCAGGCTCTCGCATATTTCAAGCCCTAAACCCGATCTGGGGTAAAAAGGGTCGTATCTTGGTAAGGCGTGTCAGTGACAATACCTGTCTCTTCCACATTCCGGATCTCTCTACGCGCGAATGGGCCCTTGAAATTGGTATTTGGTATGCGCCGGATGTTATGTTCACGCTATCAGAGTGGACACCCACATCTTCCCTCCGACAACCGGTTCTCACTACTGCTCCTATCTGGGTTACTCTGAGAAACATTCCGGCAGAAATGTATTCTCTGCAGGGGATTAGTTATATCGCAAGTGCTATTGGCGAACCTTGGACGCCCCCAAGATGTTCTCTCCTGACGTGGTAGAGGTTGAAGACGACAGTGGAGGGATAATCACGGTGAATGTCGGATACTCTTGGACGCCCCCAAGATGTTCTCGTTGCGAATCTTTTGGGCATAAGGTCTCCAACTGTCCGTCTCCACCCCCACCCATTGTGAATCCTTCCTCCAACCCAGCTCCAACGCAACTGGAAAACCCTTCTGAGATTCTTTCAGTTCAAGAACAACTACACTCGTCAGTTCCTGCCGCGCTTAATCAGGGTTCTGCATCTCCCGCACACTGCTCCAACACACCGCCACCGCTACGTCAGCCTATCCTTGACCAGGAGCCATCAACCCCTGTTGTAGCACATCCTCCCACTCAGTCTAATACCCCTGCTGTTACACAGACACCGAAATTTGCCTCCCTCACACAACCATCTCCGAAGAATGATCAATCCTCGAGCAACATAAACCAGAGCTCTTTGCCCCGAGAGAACGAAAAAGGTGGATCCAAAGCAGCTTATGTATTCGACTCCGATGATGAATTAGTGCATGAAGCACAACGACTATTACGATCGAGAGCAGCGGCGAACCCCAAAATTCCTTTTGACTTCACAGTAGTTAAGAGGGGTCGGACGGGGAGGAGCCGTGCCAAGTAAATCCCACCATTTTGAACTGCCCAATTTTTGGTTTCCATCAGTACAGTGAAGAGTAATGATGCAAGTTTTTTGTTGGAACGTCCGAGGTCTAAATGACTCGACAAAACAGCGGAATGTTAGAAACTGGATCAAAGAACAGCAACCTATCATTGGCAGCTTGATTGAGACTCGAGTTCGTGGAGAGCAGGATGCAGTTAACATAGCTAATAGAATTCTTCCGGGGTGGTCCTTCACTAGCAACTACCAAACAGCAGATCTTGGCAGAATTTGGGTCCTCTGGCACCCTTCCATTTCGGTCATTGTCTACTCCTCATCTGATCAAATGCTCACATGTGGCGTGTTTATCCCGGAAACGAATCAATATGCCACAATTTCCTTCATCTATGCGCGTAACACGTCGGGTGAGCGGACACAACTTTGGAATGAAATATCCGACATAGCAACCAATGGTCTAATCCCATCTAGACCATGGTTGCTAGTCGGAGATTTCAATCAGATATTACGGCCCCAGGAGCATGCCTCATCTACCATGCCGTATAGCCCATCGAGTGGAATGTTTGATCTTCAGGATTGCCTCTATACAAACGGCCTATTCGATCTCACTGCGAGAGGCCACTTTTTTACTTGGACAAATAACAATACTGAGAATCCGATAGCTCGGAAACTTGATCGTGCACTTGTGAATGAAAGTTGGCTCCTCTCCTTCCCGGATTCCTTTGCAATGTTTGATGCCCCAGTCCCCTCAGATCATTGTCCGTGCTTAGTGGAAATGAACCCGATTGCTATGCAGAGACGACACACAAGTTTCAAGTTCTTAAAACACCTAGTCAAGCATGAAGACTTCCATAATCTAGTGCGTCAGAGCTGGACTTCCCCTGCTCATAGGGGTACAACCATGTTTCTGGTCTCTTTAAAACTCAAGAGGCTCAAGCCGGTGCTGAGGGGCCTAAATCAAAGGGCTTATAGTGCAATTCAGTCCAGGGTCAAATTTGCTCTGCAAGCTCTTAAGGAAGCTCAATCTAGACTGTTATCCAATCCGACTATTGACACCGCCAGGCATGAATCCGGTTTACGTGCCTCGTGGTCTACACTATCAGCAGCTGAGGAGACATTCCTGCGTCAAAAATCGCGGATCAAGTGGCTGAAAGAAGGAGACCAAAACTCGAAATATTTCCATCGAGTTGTGGTTTCAAGACAAGCTACTAACGCCATTCATTTCCTTTTAAATGATGCAGGAGAAAGAATTTACAATGCAGATGATATGAAGCTAATGGCTGTAGGATACTTCAAAAGCATCCTCGGAACTACTGATCTGAATCTGTCTTATTGGCCAACAATGGAATTACAGGCACTGATTAATTTTCGATGCTCGGAACACATGAACACTCTACTTGCTGCTATTCCCACTGCAGAAGAGATAAAGGGCGAGGTTTTCTGCATGCCTAGGGATAAAGCTCCGGGCCCGGATGGCTTCTCCTCTGAATTTTTCGTTGAATGCTGGGATATTGTGGGGAATGACATTATAGAGGCTGTGCAAGAATTCTTTATTTCAGGAAGGTTGCTCAAGCAATGGAATAGCACTCTCATTGCTCTAA